ATGATGATATGACGATGTTATATTTCGAAAGGAACGCTACACTAGGGTACTTGTCAAGCGAAAGGAACGCTACCTAGGGTTACTTGTCAAAACAAAGGTAACGCTACACCGTGCCGCGATTGGTTGTTTTAAACCACGTGACCAGTTTGGTGCCAACGAGGACACGAAAAAAAACTGCAGTGTCATGGCACGTGCGGGCGTGTTTATGTGCGTCAATGGTATTGTTATAAAAATAGACTTAATCCGTCTATTTATTTAGTGCATAAAAATGCATAAAAATTTATCTTTTTTTTTATCCATTTTAAATATGCTGCATACAAATGCATAAAAATATATAAAACTTTTTCAGATATATCATTTTCACGGATAAGAGGTTGTATTTATTATAATAGTAATAATTAAATAGTTTTTGTCTTTATTAGAAAATATCCTATAAAAATATATTTCATATATCTATAAAAGAAAGAGTTTTTTTAATAAACTGAAATAAAATCTTATTTCTATGACTATCATTTTGAAAGGTCTAAGAAGCAAATAACATAATTTTAGCAATCAGAAATTATCAAAAGACGGGCAAATCTAAAAATGAAGTTTCAAATTTTCCATTTGGATGTGACAATATGTTTCGTGTTTTTTCAATCTTGTCATTTTTTTTAAAATATAATAACATAACTAAAAAAAATCAAAACAAAACAGCTTGAGCAAAAACGACTTGTAATTATTAGAAAAGTTTACTTATATTACATACGATCCTGAAAATAACGTTATACAAGTGGATTTTTTACATTTTATAAACAATATTTATAAACAAATAACATATTTGTTTATATATACATTGTTTATATAGGGATGGCAATTACTTTTAATTTTTTTGGTTTTGTGGCTTTTGTTAAGAGCTTTTAAATTTTGCGTCAAATAATTTCATTTCAACATATTCGTTGTAATATTCATAGTGCAGCCGTTTTTCAAAACGTCTTAAAGTAAAAAGTATCAATTTTGACTTTTAGAGCTACTTTAGATGTCCACAAACACAAACAATTTTGACTTTTAAGCTACTTTAGATGTCCACAAACGTTATCGAATACATATTTTCAAAGAGTTTTAAAAAAGTTCAGACAAATTATTTGTTTCAAAAAACATTTTACAAAGAGATAATTGCTAATTTTTTATAATAATTTTTTTAATTGCATTTTTCTTGAAATACGTAACAAGCATATTAAGGCGTTTTGAAAAACAGCTGCAGCATATATTTATAGTATAAAAAGAAATGTAGTAAAAAAAAGTTTTAAATTTTGTTCTAGCTACGGAATTTTATTTTTTTTGCCTCCTTAGCAATTCTGTCTGGAGTAGCAGGGCTGTCTTAAAAAGTTTTTTGTTTATAAAGTTTCAGATAATTTTTTTTTCAGACCATCCGCAGGTTATTAGGAGTAATTGAACCTGAGCTCATTAATAACATAAGTAAAGGTGAGTTTCCACTCATCCGTTTTTCTACGGGAAAGGGAAAGGAAACGGAAAAATAATCACGTAAGCATGCGCAGTTTTTTTTCGGACAAATAAAAACTCTTATTACGCATGCTCACGTGATTATTTTTTCCTTTCCTATCCCGTTCCCGTTGAGTGGAAACTCGCCTTAATAAGTATATCATTCATGACACATACGCAACAAATTTTTTCTCCCGGTTTTTTTACGTTTTTTCAAATTTTAGCTTTTTTCAAATCTTTTTGTTCTTTAAAGTGTATAATATAGTTACATATGTTTGTAATTTAAAATAATCGAAAAAAAAAAATTACAAGTGGTAGGACTTTGAAGCTCAGCGCTCTATCCACTCGGCCACGCTGACACGTTAAATGAAACTTTTTAAAACTATATAATAATTTTTTTAACGGAAAGAGTCAAAATAAAGGAGATCTTTGCTCAATGTAATTTTCAAGTGAAAATCAAACTGTAAAACTTTATAAATTTTTTAGTATATTTTAACATTACTTAAATTGAAGTTTAGGTACGTTAAATATTTGCGTACACAATCGTTCACGTTTTCCTATAAAATATACTACTACTACTACTACTACTGCTAACACTATTATGTTCAGCAATAATATACAGAGATTTACAAGTCTGATGAGCTAATATTTCATTATTAATCAGATCTAAGCAAGTTAATGAACATAAATATTTGAGATTCTTTACTCTGCCATGCTGGTTTACATCATTTACATTTTGAATATAAGAAAGGCATTAAAACATTTTTTAGGGGTGTTCCAAATAAAAAATTTTATTTTTATTATCTCGGATTGAATAACGATAAAGTTGGATAGAATTTTTAATCGATCCAACTGAATATCCCGCCGGATATTTGTCTGAATGTCTGGTTAGATAAGTTAAAATTGAATCTTCTTCAACTACACAAGTGAGTTAAAAATGTAGTTCATTGATCTCAAAGATAATGTAAAAAATGAAAAACCATATGTCTATTGAAGATAGCATTGTAACAAGAAAGGTAAGAGATATTGCTGATGATAAATGGAAACAATTTCATTAAAAAATAGCTATTTTGGTTAATGGTTAAAATAAATATGTTTATAACTGAAGATGATGGATCTGTAGTTTAATTAAACTTTTTACAACCAAGATACCTAATTCCAAGTGAACATTATTTTTTAAAGGCAGCACTTCCTTAATTATATGGTTAAATAAAAGAAAAGGTATTTAACAAGGTTGCTAAATCACAATGTATAAGTTTTAAATTAGAAATTTGGATTTGTCCTTCATCTCATGAAATACTTTTTTCTTGATCATCACATTAGATCAAAAAAAATTTTGAACACAAAGATGATGTACTCTACCTTTACATTTTCCAGAGCTCACACATGGAAATTTAAAAACATGTTAGAAAGTTAGGAATTTAATACACCAAGAAGATATGTTTCAAATAAAGATGGTGCAAGGTAATATGTCTCTAGACAGTTTTACAAAAAACATCAATCCATTGCACAACTCACTTATTGCAGCTTGTGTTAAGGATGCAGTTTTATCCCAAATATTAGCGATAGATTTATTAGCTAAACCACATCAAATAATAGGCCAATTCAACCATTTATCAAAGACATATGCAGAATTTAAGGTACTGAAGCAACAAAATAATGAATACACACCTCAAATATTGGTTCAAGGTTCTCCTACTTGATGGAATAGTGCGTAATTAATGTTTAAACGACTTCAAAGACTTAAATTAGCAGTTCAAATGTATTTTACTGACCTTAATGAATTGCCAACAATCAAAACAAATTATCAGAAAATCATTGAAATTTGATTATATATTTTACCCACCTTTACTGATCCTCTCAACAAGTTTGAATTTCTTCCAATCAATAAAAGATAACTAGCAAGATCAATATTTTTAGATGCTGTAGTAAAAAATCAAAAAATTATAAATGAACTTTCATAAGGTGTTAATAACAGTGGTGCTTCCGCACCACCACCACCGCCAGTTTCAATCGTTTGAAACCAAGTCCCCCTTCCCTCCGAAAAAAAAAGTTGATTCGGAAGTGAATGACTTTAACTCGTGCTTTTTAGAATTTTCAAAGTATTAAGAAAATGGTGGTTAGAAAATATTTTTCTGTTTATCAAAATAGTTTTAAATTTTATTCGTACTTTGCTATAACATTTTATTATAAAGCTTTTATTTTTTTTTAATTTTAACTATATTCTGCATTTTGTTGATTTTTTGATTTGAGTATTATAAACATTTTGCTTCATATTGTTAAACAAAATATATAAATAAATCAATCATTTTTAGTACTTAAACTGTTGTCATATTACTGAACAAAATGGTGAAACAAATTCTGATCAAGCCTCCCTATTAAAAGCTGCTGAAAAAGTTAATTTTTCCATTAAATCAAAGTTACTAGTACCACATGCATCCTCTACTTTTTGTAATGACTGTTTTAAGAATAAGGAAATATTTATGTGAAAAAGTGATCGAGGCTGTTACCTCAATCTGAGGAAGTGCTATTATTATCATCAAAATGCAAATAAATTTATAAATAAGTGATAACCTGATGTATTTGTTACGTATATATATTTTAATAATACTTTAATAAAAATAAAATATTGCATAAGAACCATTAACATTAGATTATTTAAAAAAAGTTTTTTATTGAAATTTATAAAAGTATTAAGAGTATTTAACTTAGAATTTTCTACAGTTTCTAAATTTTTTAAGAGTATTTAGTTTAGAAGTTCACGCTTTCATCCAACCTAATGTTAATTCTAGGGTTAAAGCCAACCTCTGAGTTCAGAGTTAGAACTCCAACTTCTGCGCCAGGGGTGCGTTATATATCCGGCCGGATATTTATTCCCGAAACACCAAGTGCCTTGTACCTTGCCTAATTCCCAGCATCAAAAAAGAAAAAAAAAAAAGAAAAAAATTATATACTATTTAACAGAGATTAAAGTTTAATATTATATGGCAAAAAAAAGTGGCCGATAATCACAAAAAAATTATATCTTTACATGCATTTAAACTAAATTAAAGTTAAAAAATATTAACACAATTTATCTTCACAATTTTAATTTTGTTGAAGTAAATAAGTAAATTTGATTATTGCAGTGCACTAAAATCATGAAAAGTTTTGCGCATAGAAGAAAAAATATTCATAGAGAAAATTTTACTATATAGCCATTGATATATCAGCAATAGAGAATTAAGTTATCTTAAAAATTATCGTCCCTAATTTGTTTATCTCTTATGGCTTGATTAACACGCATCTTTCATTTTATACATAAAACTAAAGCAAATTTTGTTTAAACACTAATTTAGTGAAAATAAAATATCATAAACTTTATTATTTTATAAAATAATGACCACTTTATGACATAGGTAATCATTATTTATTAGAATAATTGAATAAATAGTGTACATACTTCATATAAATCCACCATGTAAACTGTATAACTTATGGAAAAATTTACAATTACAAAAATTGTACGATATAGTTACCTTCATTAGCAAATCAGTATGCAGAGTAAAAGCTAAAAAATATCTTTTTAATTGTTGCGAAGTAAAGGCTTGATTAAATAATTTTCTTTGCCAATGATGATCTTCATAATTAGAAACGATCATACTGTTTCCAACAAGAGGAAATACGGCTTTAAAAACTGGTGATCTTTGAAAAAACTTTCCATCTGCAATTACTGTTTTAATGAAATGTGGCAATAAAAGATGAACTTGTCTGGGTCCTATGAAAAATTATTTTATTCAATCAAAAATTATTAACTTTAATCTAAATTAAACTTGGTCTGAAAATTAAAAAAATTTTAACGAATTTCAAAATATCTCGACGTAAAGAAATTCTTTAAAATTCCAAAAATAGATCATATTCGATCATTTTCATATATCATAAAAATACTACATTTTTCACACATATGTACTCTTATCAGTTGCTTAACCCTTTCCGGATTGAACGAAAATTGGCTATATGTCTGAACACGAAATATCAAGTTTTGACCATGATTAGTTAAATGGTTATAAAATATGAAGTACCAGTCAAAATCGGTAAAAGAAGGGCTTCTTACTTTTGATATATATAAAAAATTAAAAAAATTATTCATCCCTAGGTCACGTAACAGTTACCTTCTAGTTTTTTAATTGACAAATATAAACACATACATTTGCGATCAAAAAAAAAATTGATTAATCTAATAACTTAGTGCAAAGATATTCAAGTTTTAGTAAAAAGAATTGGAAGTCAAAATATTCTAAAGATATAACAAAAAAACTAACTTTCTCAAATTATTTTTTTAAGCAACACTTCAAAAATCTTATTGAAACATTTTCATTGCAAATATTAGTTGTTTTTTTTGTGTGATAAATTTCAAAACAATTATCAAGGTGCAAGCCTGGTTTAAATGGACAAAATCAACAAAAATAAACAATTTATAAGGAATCTTTTATCACTCTTTTTACAACGTGCATAACAAACACAACATCTCTTAATACAACTTCTTTCATCTTATCTGCAGAGTTTATTATAATTGAAGGGAAGTGTCTACAAGTAAGACAAGTAATATCTTCTTCAATTACCACCCTAAGGTTGCGGGGTATCTATGAGGTTAGTGCAAAAACTAACTTAATGTTGCTGACTAAAAAATCTAAGTATGATAATGAGCTGCCAGTACACTTACTGTAAATTTTATGTGATTTTAAGAAGCACTGTAAAATTAACCTAAACACCACTTTTTTATACCACTTATATGCTTTGCAAAGAGCTTTGATTCAATGGAGCTGCTGATCTACCCGGTCAATACCACCCAAGTGCAAGTTATAGGTCTTTATTGCCAATGGCTTTATAATTACATTACTGTCTCTGTCAGACTTTCCAGAATTAACTATCACTGGATTGTGAAAAATTGATAACATATATAGATTATGTTTATATATATATATTATGTTTTTTCTAGATTTATCTTACGCAGCACAATATTTGCAGGCTATCATTTTGTTTTTCATGTAAATGGTTTTGTAAAAACAAGCGGTTCGTTCTTCAAGTTTCTTATTCCCAATATCCTAGCAGTAAAACTTACGGTTAACACGGATTGTTCCACAAAGATAAGGCTTTTTAGACAAAAGATAAGTAGCAAAGTAGGGACTTTTGTAAAAATTATCTAAAAATAGTATATACCCCTTGTTTAAATAAGGAGTCATCAACTCTTACTTATTTCTTGTTATATTTATACTGGGATGTATAAAGATAACAAGAATGTTATCTTTATACATCGCAGGACCACAGTATACTAAAAAATCTAGGGTAATGCCATCTGATGTCGTTAATTCGTATAGCTTGATAACAAACCGTGCTCTTTTGATTTTTATAACCTGGCCAAAATGGCGTTTACATTTGAATAACACTACTGATTCGTCAGCACTTAAATACTGTCCCGGATTATACACATTTCTGCAAATAACTCTGACCATGTTCAAGAAGGGTCTAACCTTATGCAGTCGAACTCGAGCAGGATTATTAGGATCATTATAAGGGTCATTGTCATTGTTAAAATGAAGGAACTTGTGGAAAAATTTAAATTGGTCTTGATTCATAGATTTGAAGAATATCAGTGTTCAATAAAGATCACCTGTCAACTTGTACATATTTAAATTAGGCTTGTGAACAACATTCATCAATATCACTAATTCTAAAAATGTTTTCAACTCAACAACTGATATATGATTTCAATTCTTTATATAAAATTTTGCCTGGATTATCACTCAAAAAATCTCTTGCATAACAATTGGCTTCACTTACAATTGATTCAAGAATAGTATTTGTTAGGTAGAGATCAAAAAGTCAAGATTGTTTTCTAATCTTACTCTAGCATTTAAACTTTGAGATGATATAAACTCAAATAGTTCAATAATAATTCTATAACTTTAAAAGCTTCATTTTCATTTTCTTTGTTATCTACTTTAACATGTTCCCTGGCCATTTATATATTAGGTCGGTTGTCAAAACTGACTTGTTTATGCACAGTAAACAAGTCAGTTTGTGTCTTTCACCACGAGTTTTTAGACGTTTCTGCAGAGGTTGCAAAGCTTCTTTTGACAAATAAGAAAAGAGTTCATTTTCAATTTTAGACTCAATACTAATCTACAATCCTCGTATTTTTTCTAAAATTTCAATATTCTCTGGAACAAAATTTACAAAATCTTCTTCTTCAAATTCTATAATGCTCTCAGAGTCACTATTTTCATTACAATCAAGATCTTTATGACTTTCTGCATCATTACTATTAATTAAAATATCTAAAATCTCGTTCATATCTGTATACTGTTTTTTTTGTAAGAAATTTTTTATAGAAACTTCTTTTTTGAATTGCAAACGATTTAGAAATGAAATTAACATGTGGTTTGGAGTGAAATCCGCTAAATTTTAGACCTAATGAGATTCTGGTTTACTAAACGTCTTATACCTAACACAGAATTTGTTTATTTAGTAAATATTGATGACCAACTAAGCTGGTCAATTGTCATATAGAAACGGTTTTGATGACCCGCCAGGCTGGTCAGTCCTCACGAAAGGGTTAATAATGCAGAACAGAACACTTGTCATTGTAACTGTGACTGAACAGATATATTATGCAATTATTGTAGTTTAAAACAATAATTGTAAGTAATTAAACAGTATTTCTACTCCACAATCCACCTTATACCATATTTTGACAATAAAACTTGCGCCAATAAATAATACACCTTAAGTACTCTTTTACCTGGATTTCCCGTGTCTTCTTTAAATTCAGATGCTGGAAATTTTAAAATAACTTTGTTAATCAAACTTAAAATACCAGTTTTTATTATTTTTATTATAGGGAAAGTAGGGGCATAACCGCCCCCGTAACATTTGTATTAATGTTATATGAAAATAAAAACGAAATGTGTTTTTTTAGCAGTTTATTTTAATAACCACATCATTAAGTTTTAAATTGATGCATTTAAGAAAAAAATTGAACGGGTTTTGAAAATTGTATTACACAAAAATTACACTTAGTGAAAAAAACGGTTTTGCCCCCATTATGTGGCACAACCGCACCCTCACAAAAATCGTTGGGAGTACACTGTTAGAGGTACATTTTTTTTACAATTGTCATAGCTCAGATTATTTGCTAATTTTGTTGCACGTTTGCATACTGTGAAGGCATTCTTTGTACTTACAGTCTGAGTTTTCTCATTCAATATATTCTTAGCTTTATTTTTATTCAAAAACTTGTTTATAGAAATTAAATCAAAAAATTACAAAATCTAATTTCTAACATCTCAAAACAAAACTTTTCTAACACCTTTACTAACAAAAAACAAAACTTTTCTAATAAAAAACAAACTTTTCCAACAAAGCTGTTCCATCAAAACTTTTCTAACAAATAACAAATCTTTTCTAACATCTTTTCTATTAAAAAACAAAACTTTTCTAACAAAACTTTTCTAACAAAAAAAAAACAAGATTTCTCTATTATCTTTTTCTCAAAACAAACATTTTTAACAACTTTTCCATCATCTAAAATCAAAACTATTCAAGTTTTTACATGAACGTTTTTTTAATGTGACAATTGTAATTGTTGTTATTCGTAATTACTTAACTTTGATAAATATTAAAAGTATGCAGTTGTGCCTCCTGTGCGACTATGCGGTTCTGCCCCAGAAGAAAAAATAGATTATCATAGCTTGCTTATTAGATTATGTTGATATCAAAAACGGTTTTCACTAGATGAAATAATGCTGATAACACATATTTTTAACACTAAAATGAAATATTGCTTTATCCTCAAAAAAAAAGGTCTTTAAAATTATGATGTAAATATAATATTTTTATCAAAATAGACATTGTTATGCACAACTTCTCAGAAACATAAGAGGCACTCTTTTTGACATAAGCAAAATGAAGGAAACTGTTTTACTAATGCGTGGTATTTATTTTGCCATATTAGATAATATTTTTCAATGAGAAATGTTAAAAAACTGTTGTGCCTCCATATGCTGTTATGCCCCCACTTCCCCTATATATATATCTATATATATATACTATATATATATACATATATATATATATATATATATAATATATATATATATATATATATATATATATATATATATATATATATATATATATATTATATTTATATGTATATATACATATATATATATATACAATATATATATATATATATATATATATATATATATATATATATATATATATATATATATATATATATATATATATATATATATAATATACATATATATATATATATATATATATATATATATATATATATATATATATTATATATATATATATATATATATATATATATATATATATAAATATATATTTATATATATATATATATATATATATATATATATATATATATTATATATATATATATATATATATATATATATATGTATATATACATATATATATATATATATACATATATATATATATATATATATATATATATATATATATATATATATATATATATATATATACATATATATATATATATATATATATATATATATATATATATATATATATATATATATATATATACATATATATATATATATATATATATATATATATATATATATATATATATATATATATATATATATATATATATATATATATATATTTATGTATATATATATATATATATATATATATATATATATATATATATATATATATATATATATATATATATATATATATATATATATATATATATATATATATATATATATATATATATATATATACATGTGCGTGTTACTTAAACTAGAAATTAAAATAAAAAACATTTACCAATTAAAGTATTAATTGTATATAATCCGTAATCTTTAAACTCTTTACCAAAGTTTAACAGAGTGTTAACATGGTCATGAACATCAAAATAACTATAGTGACATGTAATTAAACTCTCTTTGGGTGATGGCAACAAACGAAATTGATGACAAAAACGTTTAAAAAAAACAGCAACGAAAAAAACTAAAGGAACTATTATAATCGCTATGTATATCGAATACATAACTATCTTCTAGCAGCATAGCATGTTGACACTAGCATGGCAAATAAATTAATTTTTGATTTTCAAGTTATGTTGATTTTTACAGCTAGACGCAATTTTACTTGACGCAGTCTCAAATAATGTTCTGTATTTAGATTTTTATTTGACGCATTTACAAGTAATTAGAACTGCGTCACATAATAAAAAATTTCAATAGTTCAATGTCACTAACTTTAGAAATCTAATGAACTAGTAAGTTTGTTATTCATTTTTTTTTTATAAGGTTAAGACATGGGTGATCCATAGCTTTTTAAAAAAATTTTGTTATTCGTAACTGAAGAGCGTTTCTATAAAAAGATCTGTCACATTTTACATGTTTTGATGGAAAAAAGACAAGAACAAAAAAACTAATGTTCTCACGAAGTTTTTTGTAAATCTCAACAACATTTTAATAGTAAATAGAAATTATGAAACAATATTTCATTTATACTAACATATTTAGCTTTGTACCTTTTTCATTTTATGTACAACGTACATATGCATAAAGATACATGTAGATTTTCCATAAAAAAGGTTGAATCGGTTGTTTATTTATCTAAGAAAACAGGGTATTTGACACCTTAAAATAATTTTTTGGTACCCCTAAATACATGCTATTTCTCTCCATACATAAAAGATAGATATTACTACAGAACCTTGAAAAGTTTTAGTGAGGAAAATGCTGGGACCCAACTGGATTTCCCACATGTATCCAATTGTAATTTTGTCAGCGAGATTAAACTGGGTCCCATCTGAGATTAGTCTTGGTTTTACTCGTATATCGCAACTTTTTATAATTGGTTGAAGTTTCTTTTTCGCAAAATCGCGAGTTCTTTTTTTCTTTCGCGTTTTATATAAAATATAATAAAGTTAAGAGGTATGATTTATATCAAACTCGCTGTAATCCAGTAGGCACGGACGTAAAAAAAAACGTCTTTTAAACGTCTTATATACGTTTTGGACGTCTTTTGAACGTCTTTTGAACGTTTTGGACGTCTTTTGAACGTTCAAAAGATGTCTTTTTTTGGTCCGGTGCCCTCTGGAAAAGCTCATAAGTTTTATTAGGCGCATGAATATTTTATCTGTAATAATTTTACATGAATGAAATAATTTTATGAATGAAATAATTTTACAAATTATGTTGAAAAACAGATTTAAATTTCATAATATTTTAAACAACAAAAAAATAATATTATGCAATGATTTGATTTAAACTGCTCGACAATAGTTCAATACTTTGTCAGTGTTTCTCTCATTAAGCCACGTTGATTGCATGATAAATTCCGTATTAATTTGTATCGTTTTTCTTCTTTAGTGCTTTTACCCATTTTTACACTAGCTGTTAAAAAAGTAAAAATAAAGATTTTAGGAATATAACAATTTATAGCATATATACTTACAAAGAAATAAAAAATTATAATTAATTGCTGATAAAAATAATTAGGACGTACCATACAGTGTGCTATATTTTGCACATAACAAACAAGTATTAGACAACTAAAAACACAAGTAAAAACATAAGTTGAACCAATGCAGTATATAAATCGTATAGGTATAAGATAATCATAGCTGAATTGAATTAGAGGTCCTGCGGTAGAGACCCAGTGGGCATTTCGACGTCGAACGAACGTCGAGCGACGTCGGATCTCGACGTCGGATCGACGTTGGGTTTACGTTGGAAATGGAAATGTTATTTGACGTCGGATAAACTGACATCGCGCGACGTCGGCATTCCGATGTAAATCCAACGTGTTATTTGAACACTAAAAAACGTTGCCATTGGCAGGAATTGAACCTCGGTCTATTACAAACTAAGCCCTACGCGCTTACCACTACACCACAGGGACTTATCAATTAATACGTTTACTTAGTAATTTATACTTTTAGCTATTTGGGAATTATTACTTTGATAAGAAATAATTTTGTTTAAATATTATATAAATATTAAAACGAATAGTTATATTATAAAAAATGTATACTCGAAAATGTTAATAGTTAAAAAACTATGCTAGTGCATCATACAAAACCTCATGATGTTTTATCAACCATTATTCTAACTTCTTTCCATTAATAAAAAACACGCTTAGTTCACATATTTATTGAAGAGCGCAATTGCGCACATATTGTTGGGTTTGGATTAAATTTTCATCAGCGATGTCTTACGACGTTGTTCCGATGTCGTTTTAAGGACGTTGGATTGACGTCGGAAGACGTCAAAAGACATCGGAGTACGTTAATGTTATGACGTTGCCCGACGTCTTTTTATCGACGTTGAATCGATGTCAGTACTGCGACGTTTTTTGGACGTCTTTTATAAGATGTCGAAACAACGTCAAAATACATCGAAACGACGTCAGGGGATGTTGAGATAAAGACATCGCCCGACGTCATTTTACTGACATCGGAACAACGTCGGAATAGGTCTTTTGACATCGCTGATGAAAATCGTACGTAAATCCGACGTCGGATTGACGTCGGGTGCCCACTGGGGATTTGTTTATTAACTTAATTTGTTTTTAAACATTTTTCACCTCATAGTACCTTACGGGGTTATTCATTTTTGTTTGTGCGTTTATTTATTTTTATACGCGTGTTTATTCATTCTTATATGCAAAATTATTTATTCTTGTATACGTACCAAAGCCTATCAACTTCGCGAAACTCCTGTTAATTGATTAAAATTCCATTCTGGGGTGTCTTGTCGGACCACTTCAGCAACTAACACAAATAGTTTTTTTTTAATTAATAAACTTTGTTGCTAAATATCTCAATTTTGTATTCAGGATATAAATCAATTTGGTAACATTAAAACATCAATTTTGTTAAGATTACCATTAGAATGTTTCAATAAGAATGAACTAATGGGGAAAAAAAAGATTTGTAGAACAAAAAAAATTTTGTAGAACACTAAGCTTGATATAATAGCAAGGAATGCACTTAAGCCACTTTTCAATGTTTACAAACACAGCAAAAATTATACTCATTCTTTATTATACATCCAAGATGTATTGACAATCGTACAGCAAAACAAATTAAAGTTATATATTCGCATATTGAGCAATAAAACAACCTTTGGTATTGTAAATTCCTAGTTTAAAAACCAAACCCCTAAGCACCCTTTTCTATATGATGTCATAGGCTTTCTAGATGATGTCATAGGTTTTCTAGATGATGTCATAGGTTTATGCAATCGAAATGAACTAAATCTAGAGAGCTTAATGAAAAACAAAAAAAGTAAAAATTATTGTGTTAAAAAATATAATTCCTAAAAAAGATTTTTAAAAGTTAAGCTTTAAAATTGAGTTCTAGAACTCATTGAAGCAAAGGAAACTTATTTTTTTAAATTATTATAAAGTTATATTTTTGTAACTCAAAAATGTAACTTTATACTAATTTACCTTGTATTATATACAGTGGGTGATTAATAAACATAAACAAATAAAGTTGATGCAATTTTTTTAAAACGTAAAAGTATTTTACTATACATAAAAGTTATTAACATTATACATTAACAAAAGTTATTAATATTATACATTAGGCTGATTTAGAAACTGAGACGCGGACGTATTGTAGAACGCCGTTGTAAAACCGCGGTCTCGTTGTCTCATTTTATTTTTAATCTGATTTAGAAAAGTTACAAACCGGAACGTGGACTTAGGATTTCGATTATTCAAAAAAAAGGAGTATCGAATGTTTTTGTTTAAAAAAAATGCAACGTTGTATAAAAATAAAATGAAATAAATTTTATCAAATTTTTTGTTTTATTTTAATTAGTGTTTTTTTTTTAAATTATATATATATATATATATATATATATATATATATATATATATATATATATATATATATATATATATATATATATTATATATATATATATATATATATATATATATATATATATATATATATATATATATATATATATATATATATATATATATATATATATATATATATATATGTATATATATATATATATATATATATATATATATATATATATATATATATATATATATATATATATATATATATATATATATATATATATATATATATATTATTAGTAATAGTAAAATAAAAAAAGTAATAATTAAAATAAAAAAGTATCAAGTTGAAATATGACTGCGTTGAACAGCCTTAAAACTGCAAGAGACTCATTGTTAATTGCTTACTCCGAGGACATAATAGATGATTGTGAATTTGCACTGCTCTATCAACTAAGCTATTCAAGAGATATATATCCTCACTGGGACTACAATAAGTTTAACCTATCGTTGCTGGATGATGCACAGTGTTGGACTGATCTACGTTATCGAAAAACTGACTTACCACATTTGCTAAATATTTTCAGATTACCTGATGTAATAAAATGCACTCAAGGAACAATCTGTAGAGGAATGGAAGCCTTATGCATTATGCTTAAAAGATTAGCATTTCCATGTCGCTATACTGATTTGGCAAATACATTTGGTAGAAACCCTACAGAAATTTGTCTGATATTTAACACTGTAATTGATCATGTTTACAATAAGCTTAGTCATAAACTATTACTTTGGGATCAACCTATGTTACAATCAAACAATCTACGACAGTTTGCTGATTATATCCATGGAAAAGGGGCACCCCTAGATAATTGTTTTGGTTTTATCGATGGAACTGTTCGTAGAATTGCTAGGCCTAAAACAAATCAAAGAATTGTCTATAATGGTCATAAGAGAGTTCACGCACTAAAATTTCAAAGTATAGTAGTTCCAAATGGTATGATAGCAAACTTAGCTGGTCCGTTTGAGGGTAAAAAACATGATAGCACTATGTTATGCGAATCTGGTTTATTGCAACAGTTGCAGCAGTTTGCATGGCATGATGGGCGTCCTTTATGTTTATATGGTGATCCAGCCTATCCAATTGGAGTACACCTCTTAGCACCATACAGAAGTTTGAATATTACCCCAGACCAACATGCATTTAACAAAGCTATGAGTGCACATCGTGTTAGTGTTGAGTGGGTATTTGGTTTAATGACAAATTATTTTAAATTTATAGATTTTAAACAGTCTCAAAAACTTGGCTCAAGTCCCATTGGAAAAGTGTATATTGTATGTTCATTAATACAAAATGCACACACTTGTCTTTATGGGAACATTGTTTCAGATTATTTTGGTTTGGAAGCTCCCTCACTACAAGAGTATTTTCAATAATTCAATATCGATAAGAAATTATAATGATAAACTTATTAAAAAGTATGCCTGTTGTAAATCTTATAGATTATTGAAAATATTGCTAAACTTTCACGATTCTTTAAAATATAAAAAGATAGTCACACAAAGAATTATTTATTCCCAAAAAAATGCTAACATAACAATTAAGTTCAAAAGAAAAAATTTAGTTTATTAAAAATAAAAACTTCTTTTTACAAATTTCTTTTTTCTAATAGCATTTTTAATATTTCTGTTTGTTGAGCTAACATATGATTAAACATATTTTGAATATTATTTTGTTGTTGCTGAGCAAGAGCTCTTGCTTCAGCTCTTTCTTCTCGCTCAATGCGTCTATTTTCTTTATCTGCTTCCATTTTTTCACGCAAAAATATCAATGTATCATTTGATGATCTGCGAGATGTCTTTGGAGACTTGTCTTCATTATTAAGGGCTTTTCGTTTCCTTGTTTCCCCATAACGCTCCATAGCAGTATTTCTTATATCTATAGCTTTCACACGATCTTCATCTACTGCATTTTTTTTTTCTTGAGATTTTTCATCTTTCTGAGCATCTGTGTCATCACTGACTTCAATTAATTCTTCAACCAAAATATCATATTCAGTTATTTCTTTTCCACCTTCACCAGAAAGTTTTTTTTCCTTGTTCGCCTGAGCACGATGCTTTTTCATAATATTAGATAATCGATCTCGTACTCCTCTGCTTGTAACATAGAAACCGTTTTTGTTTAATGAATCAGAAACCTGCTGCCACAGCAGCCCACGCTCTTTACTTCCAGGCTTTTGAATTAAGACACCTAAAGCTGCCACTTCCCTCATCATCATTATATCTTTTTCGATATTCCATTGCATACATGTTCTAAATAAAATCAATTAATTAATATATATGTTAATTTTGAGTTAAGTCCTGATTATAAATTGTTGACAGATTAATGTAAACATTGATAACTTATTTTCCAGAGAAAAAAATTCATAGTCAACATGTTATAAATAAAAATACTTGAGTAAATTTGTCAACAACTTGATATTTACAAATTGTATTTGTACCAAATATAATTTATATAAATTATATATTTATTATTGATATATAATTCTATAATTTATATATATAATGCATTATATAATTATATTTGTGTAAAATATTATCACAATTTTATTAATATCAATGAAACAAATGATTACTAAGTAAAGTTTTAATATTTTTAGTTGTGACATATCTAACAAAAATATTAATAACATTACAAAAAAATGAGTTTCACTGGTATAAAATAACTCACTGTCATTTAAAATATTTTACTGTCATAATATATTAAAAATACTTTAATAGTATTTCAAATACTATTTAAGAGTTGTTGACTCGTAGAAACGCTAATTGTGATCACAACTAGTGAAATATATTATTAAAATTATATTATAATTTTAGTAATATATTTCACTAGATGTAATCACAATTAGTGTCAACAACTATAATTTATAAGAAATAAATCTCAGAACTAATAGTTAAATTAATAACAGATTGAATAAAGTTATATATTAAAAAATCTTACGAAGTAATTTACCTTTTTTGGCTTGAATTTGATGAAGAACATATTGCATTTGGACAAACATCTGGATTTGAATTCGGCGAAGTACAAGTATCATCCATCTTTAATTTGACGTTTTGAAGTAGACGCGGAAATGTTTGTTTTGAGGTTGAGAACGCGACTTCAAAAAGTCAAGACGTGAAAAATTATTCCGCACCAGTCTTTTTTTGGGATTTCCCTAGCTTTTTTCACGTTCCCGTCTTGCTTTCTAAATCAGCTTATTATAACATAACAAAGTCTCATTATAAAGAATTAAATTGAAAAACTAAAAGGGCAATACGTACAATATTTTTCAAATTGCAATTGGGTGGGTGTATGCTCCTGCTTAAAACTTTTTGTGAAACAAAAACTATTGTAATAACAAAAAACATATTTTCTTTTTTAATGTTATTAGCATATCTAACAAAAAAAAATTTGAAAAAATAATATCATAATATATCATTTATGAAAAATACGTGCAATTTTTTTTTGCATTTGACTTATTGCGTGGGTTTATGTCTCAGTTTAAAAATTTTATGAAATAAAAAAATCTTGTAATAAGAAAAAACAGAACAATGTTTTTTTCGAAATAAAGCCATGTTCTTCACGTTGATTGTGTAAAAATCGGAAATTGACATATTTTTTTATTTATTTTATTGATGAGAATCAAGGCCTGTCCATCTCTTTCAAGATATTTGTTAACAAATTTTATAAAAGTTGTTTCTGTTTCACAAACTAGTTACATAAAAGCTGATGGATTTTCAGCTGAACTAAGAAAAATTACATCTTCACACCTATGACATAACTTAACCTTTTGAATAAGCCATCCAGCCATGTGTAAACGGGCTTGATCCTTTGGTTGCATTAAAATCACATCTAAAATGATCCTAGACGAAAATAAGATGTTCTTTTAGGTTTGTTATTTTCTATTTTATAAATTCCACATTTAGTAGTTGTTTGATAACAACACTTCATAAAATCATTTAAATTGAAAGCAGTCTCAAAATTTGATTAAAACGAGAAGTACAAACAAACTGAAAACCTTCAGAAAATAACTCTCTACTTAAAATTTCCATTTCTCAATCCAATGCTTTAACTCTTCTAACTAAGAAATACTGTCTCCTTTGAAAGTTTGAGCACAACGAGCTGGTTTATTTGCATATAATTTATATGGATTCAATATGTCGAATAAAGTATCCATGCGTTCAACAAATCTTGCTGTTGGTAATACACTTAATAGAAGTAATTTTGTATTAGAGCAGCAATATAATGCAAAAGCAACATGATAACTATGAATTTGAGTGGCAAGTTTGACCTTCATAGATAAAAGAAGGCCAGGGTCAAAGTGACTTTCTATTAGTTTTGGCGTTATTATTTTTTCTATATTGCAGAGAGACTAAATGTCTTGCCAAGAAACACTTTCACTATCAATATCAATATTATGTCTTCGTAAATTGTTTCTGATACTTTTTAATAAATACGGATGATCTAAAATAACATAAAAATTTTTATCATTGGAATGATTAGGAATGTATGGTAAATTTTTGGAAAACCCAAGCAAACGTAAGGCAGCTATATTAGTAGAAGTAATTTGTAAACCAGTTTCTTAAACCTTATAAACGGTTTCACGTAGTAAAGAAGCCAAGTCAGCTTTTGATACTGTTGCCTCTAACCATAATTACAGGAGCCTAATTTAAAAGTTTTCAATTTTTCATATCGTAAACTCTGTAGAATTTCTATCATACTCTAAATGCTGCTTCAATGTCATTTCCTCTATATCAAGAATGACATTACGATCAAGCAAAGTCATTGCATCAGCACTTAACTTTAATAAAGAAAGCAATCGAGTAGAAAACCTTTCTTGAAGATCTGAAAATACACGGGACAAAAATAATAATAAACAGGTTTGACTTGGTGATCAGAATATTGTTCGCAAGACATTAAAAGTTTGAGGACTATGAAACAGAATTCGCAAAGCCAAAACTTTGTCACAAACTGCCCAGCGTTTTTCTTTATTGACTCGTTTACTCGTTTCTATTTGACTTTTAAAAAAACTAACTCGTATAGGTGATAAATATTTCCTGGATAAATTTAAAATATGTTTTATAGACCCATCACAGTTTTTTTGGGTATTTTGTTTGGATTTTAAATGTCGAGCTTGTTTACGTAGACTATAATTTTTGACTCGCAACGTTAATAGTAACCTTTGATGTTGGTTGAAAATTATTTAATAAGTAGACATTTTGTTCTCTGATAAATTACTATCTGAATTAACAGGTAAACAAACAAACCCAATCTTGAATCTGATCTCACTTCTGTAACTGATTCTGTAATAAATTTTAAATTCAACAAAACTTAGTTATTTACTGCAAACAACTATCGCAGCGCCGTCGACATTCTCATGATGATAAATAACAACCTTCTCAATGAGTTCAAGTCTTTACGTCTTCTTGGATTATCATTTACTACTGACCTTTCATGGAAACCTAATATACAGTTGATTGCTAAATAACCATTTGCTAAGGCTGCTTTTTCTTTATTGTGCTTACACTTTTCTTTTTACTGACTCCGTTCTCTACTTATCCTACTAATCCCTTATTTTTCTCTGTATGGAATACTGTTGACATATTTGGTGTGGTTCTTCTAACGATTTTTTTTCTCTTCTTGACAAGATTCACAATTGCACTGTAAACGTACTTGGACCCGGTCTATCTAATAAGCTTGAGCCTCTTTATCATTTTCGTAAAGTTACATCTCTTTCTCTTTCCTATGAATACTATCATGGCCGCTGCTCAAAGGAGCTTTTACCTCTATTTCAATCAACCAAAACTCATTCCTCTATTAAATTGTCATTCAAAAGTCTCATTCTTTTACTGTATCTGTCCCTGTATGCTCCAAAATCTTTTATTCATCTAGCTTTTTTCCCCGCTTTAACCCTTTGGAGCTCTCTCATATCTTAATGTTTTCCTGATTCATACAACCTTTAACTCTCTAAGTCTTCTATAAAACGTTTCCTTGCTTTATAACTTTGTTCTTTTTTCTAGTAACTCCCAACTTAATAGTGGTTGCTTGCAGCCTTATTTGGAGTATACCAGAGTTAATAATAAAAAAAATATTGCGGCAAGAGTGTTTGTTTAATTTGTGTTGTTTTAACAATGGGAGTGCAGGCTGATAAAATAAAAACTGGAGGCTGGAATGCTAATTCATTTTGTATTTCTATTACTAGTGTGTTGACACCAGCGATTAGGAATGCAGATATGGAAGCGCCGGTGTTTCTTTGGACAATTGTAAACACCACTGGAGTCTGTCTGTTAGGCAAACACTAGCCTTTAATGGTATAGCTGTTAAGTATCTGCCAGTATACACGTCACTTCTAAATCCTTTAAAAAAATGTTTTTGTTCCATAAAGCATACTTACAAACAGTGAGAAAGGCCTCAAAGTACGGATGTACTATGGTTTCTTAGACCCAATTTTTTGGCAGAAACCCTTTTTTTAAGTAATCAAAAGTATTTTTTAATGCGATACCTTAAAGTAAACCCTTCAAAATAATAAACGTGGTCTATTTTTAAATTAATAGCTCAGTTTGTTTGTAATATGCACTCAAGTTGAGATTATTTATTACCTCTGGTTAATTCACAGTGAGTTAGTTCACAGTGAGTTAGTTCTCAGTGAGTTAGTTCACAGTGAGTTAGTTCACAGTGAGTTAGTTCACAGTGAGTTAGTTCACAGTGAGTTAGTTCACAGTGAGTTAGCGTAAAGTGAGCTGTTAATTTAATAACATAACTTTTGAAATAATTTATATTTTTGATTTCTGTAAAGTAAATTAATAATATTCAGGTATATATTTTTATAAAATATCTAATTAAATTAATATATTGCATTATTATATTAATTATGTTAAAGCAATAGAAAAGAAAATATAATAGAGATGAAAGAAGAAATAGCGTAGAAGTATTTCTTTTTTCATCTCTATTATTACTACTTCTTATACTCTATTATTACTACTTCTTAATAAATTAGACGCTTTAATACTTCTCATACTCGATAAAATTTCTTTTTAGTATTTCAAAATACAGAAAAAACTATCTACATTCCTACTTTAAAATCGATGTCGAGATAATTCGAACAAAACATCTCTTATATTGCAAGCAACAGGTATGGCTGCACGTCAGCAAAAATTTCGTGATTTAGAATTGGTTTTAGAAGAATTGAACAAAAGTCTTTCTCGGCCAACTAAATTAAAAAAACTATATTTTTAACAAAAAAAGAAACAGTACTTTATACAGCGAAATAAGGATTAAAATTAGTTTTGGATTCCAATTTAAGTAAGCAAAAATATCAAAATATTAAACAAGGAGCTGTTTCCAAAATTTGTAACTTGTATCCTGATTACAAAGAGACTCGAAAATATTATTTGGCGTGTAGACCAAATGGTATATCAATTTTTGATATTGTTGCACAAGTACCATTGATGAATTTATTAAAACATACAGTGAGACGTATCGTACAGTTACAAGAAGTACAATTACCACTCCGCTTGAACCCAGAAGATTATAAAGTCTTATGGAACAATTGCACTCCTTTTCTACATATTATTTGTTCAAGGTACAAATAATTAGAAAATCTTTTTATATAGAAAAAAAGAAATAGAATAACTGTTCTTTAAAAATTTACCCCTTCACGGGGTTATAATAAAATTTAAAGGTTTTGGAAGTACCAACGACGGCAATACTGCACGCCAAGCGTATTGAAAAATTTGCCGAAATAACTAATGTAGATGAAGAGTTGATTAAAAAGTTTAAAATTATTCTTACTTCTATCTCTTGCCAGTATCAAATTAATTTAGACAAATTCTAAAAATATTGTTTTGAGATGGCAAAATATTAAACGTCTAAATACCCTTGGTATCCGATGCCGGCAACTGTACACAAAGTTTTAGTACATGACTGACAAAATAGAAAATGCAGTACTACCAATTGGTTATTTTAGTTAAAAAGGGTCTGAAAGCAAGACACAAAACATACAAACACGATAGACAATTTCATGCGTGACGGCGATGACGGCTGCAAAAATGAAACTTCTGATGAGGACTTAATTTCTATTAATTATTTAGATTTCATCGAACTAGATAGTGAAATATAGTTGAAATTTAATTGATTATTTTAAATATTTATTCATCTAATGATATTTTTTTACATATTAAATATAAT